TACCGAAAGGGAAACTATGAGGGGATAAGAAAATTCCTAACAGATATAGCATGGGAAACAGAGCTCAGGGGGAAGACGGCCCAAGATATGATGGACTACATCACGCAGAAGTGCAAGGATGCAGAAAACAAGTTTGTCCCAGTCCAAAAGGAAAACAGAGAAATGAAGATGAGAAACCCATGGTTTAATCAGAGATGTAGGCTAGCTAAGCTGCAAAGTAAAAGGGCATGGAGAAACTATAGGAATAACAGGACACTGGAGAGCAGAGAAAGATACCAGAATGCCAGGAATGAATATGTCAGGATGAGAAGAGAGGCAAAAAGACAATACGAAAATGACATCGCAAGCAGGGCAAAGACTCAGCCTAAATTGTTGCATAGCCACATCAGGAGAAAAACAACAGTAAAGGAACAGGTTATGAAATTAAGGATAGGGGCGGAAGGATTCACTACAAACGACAAGGAAGTGTGTGAGGAACTGAATAAGAAATTCCAGGAGGTCTTCACCTTAGAGCAAGGAGAAATTCCAGAGATATGAGAGGGAATAGCTAACCAGGAACCACTGGAAGAGTTTGATATTACCAGCGGGGAAGTAAGGAAGTGTTTACTAGAGTTGGATGTGACAAAGGTTATAGGCCCAGATGGAATCTCCCCTTGGATACTAAAGGAAGGAGCAAAAGAACTGTGCCTACCACTCTCCATAGTGTATAACAAATCACTGGCAACAGGGGAACTGCGAGATATTTGGAAAGCAGCTAACGTAGTCCCGATATAAAAGAAAGGGGATAGACAGGAGGCACTGAACTACAGGCCAGTGTCCCTAACCTGCATACCATGCATGCTGATGGAGAAGATTGTGCGAAGAAAGCTAGTGGAGCATCTGGAGCGAAGGAACTTTGTAACACAGCATCAACATGGGTTCAGGGATGGCAGGTCCTGCCTCACAGGGTTACTTGAATTCTACGACCAGGCAACAAAAATAAGGCAAGAAAGAGAAGCGTGGGCAGACTGCATATTTTTGGATAGTCAGAAAGCCTTTGATACAGTACCACACAAGAGGCTAGTGAAAAAGCTGGAGCTGCAGGCCGGAGTGAAAGGGAAGGTACTTCACTGGATAAAGGAGTACCTAAGCAACAGGAGACAACGAGTCTGTGTGAGGGGTGAGGTCTCAGATTGACGAGACGTTATAAGTGAAGTCCTGCAGGGGTCAGTCCTTGGACCTATACTGTTTCTGGTATATGTAAATGATCTCCCAGAGGATATATATTCGTTTCTCTCAATGTTTGCCAATGATGCAAAAATTATGAGGAGGATTGAAACATAGGATGATAGTAGGAGGCTACAAGATGACCTAGACAGACTGAGTGAATGGTCCAACAAATGGCTGTTGAAGTTCAACCCGAGTAAATGCAAAGTAATGAAACTAGGCGGTGGAAACAGGAGGCCAGATACAGGATACAGAATAGGAGATGAAGTACTTAATGAAACAGACAGAGAGAAAGATCTTGGAGTTGATATCACACCAAACCTGTCTCCTGAAGCCCACATAAAAAGAATAACGTCTGCGGCATATGCGAGGCTGGCTAACATCAGAACAGCGTTCAGGAACCTGTGTAAGGAATCATTCAGAATCTTGTACACAACATATGTAAGACCAATTCTGGAGTATGCAGCCCCAGCATGGAGCCCGTACCTTGTTAAGCACAAGACGAAGCTGGAAAAAGTCCAAAGGTATGCTACTAGACTAGTCCAAGAACTAAGAGGCATGAGTTATGAGGAAAGGCTGCAAGAAATGCACCTTACCACACTGGAAGACAGAAGAGTAGGGGGGACATGACCACAACCTACAAAATCCTCAGGGGAATCGACCAAGTAAACAAGGAAAAACTATTCAACACTGGCGGGACGTGAACAAGGGGACACAGGTGGAAACTGAGTACCCACATGAGCCACAGGGACGTAAGAAGGAACTTTCTCAGTGTCAGAGTAGTTAACAGATGGAATGCATTAGGCAGTGATGTGGTGGAGGCTGACTCCATACACAGTTTTAAATGTAGATATGATAGAGCCCAGTAGGCTCAGGAACCTGTACACCAGTTGATTGATCTGTTGAGAGGCAGGACCAAAGAGCCAAAGCTCAACTCCCACAAGCACAAATAGGTGAGTACATACACTTGAAAAGAAAATTACAAGTCGCCGACCAGTGGGCAGAGAGCACCACGCCAGCCAGGCAAGGAAGGCACAAAACTGCATCAAAAGGTCCACCTCGACAACAAAACCTCAAAGTCCCAGCACGACCGCAACACGTGCCAAGACCCAAAAAGATCAGTCTGCAAGCCAGGAAGACCCCGGAACTCCAGAAGGCAGAAACCAGGTCACACACGAGGAAACAAAGCCCCCTGAACCCACAAAGGGGGCCCAAGAGGAAGAAACCTCCGAAACGAAACCAAAGAACCCAAAGGAACCCGGAATCGAACCAGGGGGGAGCCCAAATCACCACATTTTGCCAGTGGAGAAACACCACAGAAAGGCAAAGCACAGCCCCCAGACAGAACCCCCCTGGGAAACGGTCATAACAGACCGAAAACCAAGGGACAAGGTGTGGGAGCAAGCATAACAGCCAGGGACACTGAGCCCAAACCCAAAGGCTCAGACCCAAAACAGACAAAATGGGAAACCCCGGTGTAAAATCAACACTCAAACGTTCCCAGAGGAACAGGAACCGGGCAGAAAACACCAGAAAAGCAAAGAAACGACAACAAGAGAATAAAGCCAATGAAAAAAAAAGGTGAAAACTCACCCAAGTAGCTCGCTCGCACACCCAGGTGCATGTAAACAAACCACAACGCCGCCCTGGTGGCCACGCCGGGAAACCAGCAGACGAAAATGGCCACCGGAACAGAGGGCTGTGACCGATGCTAAAGATACGAAAACACGCCAGCAAAAGTCGGAAGCAAGCAGACTGGATGGGCGAAAAACGCCGCCCAAAAGCAGAAAACCCAGGCAGGGGCAAGCCGCCCCAGAACTGCTAGCAGGCATCCCCTACAGCCCCGGGAACCAGCAACAGAGGCCCCGGGGCAGAGCCGTCCTCCAAGCCCTCCACCCTTAAAGAAAAGCAAGAGTCCATGGGAAAGGCAGCAAGAAAGGGACGCCAGTAAGACCCAGAAGATTTGGCAGGAAGAACAGGCTCGAAAACCTCCATACCCTAACCCGAACAGGGCAGCCCCCGAAAACCGCCAGAGTCTCGGCCCCTAACTAAACTCCGCCCCAACCCCGAAACCCGCTGACAGTCCGGAGCCAAGAACAGAGAGGGAAAGGGGCGAACAGCACCTAACCAAAATGGGGCGGCCTTTACGGGGCATCCGAGTGGGAAACCAACCTAGCATGTTGCAGCAACCTAACCTAGCTTACAACATGGATGCCGCCTGTACTCTGAACAGTAATAACATCAGGAGAGTACTGGAGAACAAGCAGAGAAAATCTCTCGCAAGACTCCGGGTCAAGGTGTCAGTGACCCAACAGGCAGCATGACGGAGGTAAAAATGGCGACTGTCACCCGGAGACCAGGGCACAGCAACCAACGATCCCGTACAAGACGGGTTGGAACCTGGAAGACACATTCAATGGTCCACCGAGCCCAAACAGGGGTTTCCAGGGCCCGTAGGCTGACTGCTACGGATAGCCCGGGCAAGGTGTTGCTAAACCGGTTAAGAAACCCAAAAATAACAAGAGAGTAGAGGATAGCACTGAAAACCCCTGAGACGTGTACAATCACAAGAGCCTAGCAGAGGGCTGCCAAACACTACCAGTGGAACTATAGCCACACTAGGCAGACCCCCACCAGGCAATTGAAAAGAAAAACCCTGCAAAAGTACACTGTCTCCAGAGGCAACAGGAACCGGTCGCCGCTTAGGTGGTAGGCCGCGCAACACCTTGATGCCCTAACCAGCACAATACCAATCCCTACCCAGGGCCAAACAAGGGCCCCAAGCCCCAGCTGGCCCCAAGGGCGAGGCAAATGCTGAGCAGCAAGAACCTCTACGGGAATGCTTCCCGAATGCCCAAGGGAAGATAACCCTGTTACGCAAGGGCAGTACTCACAGGGCGCTTAGGAAAGTCAGCCACTAAGCGCATGCAGCCCCGGCACTGATGAGGTACTCCTGGCCACCGCCCAACACAACACACGGCAGTGAACGCCACACAAGGCAAACAGCGCATAGGAAACTGAGGCCAGAGAAACGTCTATCCCAGTTGACATTAGCTTACGAACTGAAGCTTGGATGCCGGCACGGTAAGTCCGGGGCTCCCCCCTCTCCCTCTCGGGGCGGGGAGGGCTGCGAGGACGATCGGCGCGGCAGTAAATTGTGATGTTTGCTTGTTTGCTTGTTTCCTTGGGATTGTAGGGAGTTTCTACCTCTCTGTTCGGTTTTTTGTTTTAGTTTTTTACACTGTGGGATTTGTTTTGTCATGCCTATCTTTCTGGGTGCCTGACCCCGGTCGATGGCAGATAAGGAAAACCCCAACCACAAGGGGGTTTTCCAGTGCCATTGGTCCCTGAAACCTCTCTGAAGGGGGCCAGGTTCTGGCACTGGTCCCTGGTAGGTTTGATCTCCTTAGCTAATGTCCCGGTCTAATATAACATACATTAGCCCGATAAGCTCCACGGAGCCGTAGGGGCTCCCCACGGAAAATGCAATATCAAAAAGAGCTAAGTACACGGTGACTAACATACAATTTTATCTCTCAAATATTGTATGGTCAACAAAGTGAGTACCTAAATGAGTAACAGAGACTTTAAGGAGAATTTGTTCCATGTAAAAGTATGGAAGAAATGGAATACACTAAGAGGTGAAGTGATAAAAACTAATTCCATACACAGCTTCAACTGTAGATGTGAAGGTGCCAATAGACTAGGAAACCAGTACATCAGCCCTTACATAACAATTAGGCCAGTAAACAGTTCTCTCTCTCATGCATGGTCTGGTCAATAAAGAAACTTACACACACAGTTTTCTCTCTCGCGCATGGTCTGGTCAACAAAGAGTTTTGTTTTTTTGGGTATGTTGAGCTTCACTGCGAGCGCATGGGCAGATCCTAGAGTATCTTCAATTTCAAAACGTGCAGTTCGCTTCAAAATTTTCACAAGAAGTGCCCCACCTGGAAAATGAAAAAAACAATATCAGTCAATTAGTAATTATGAAATTTTTTTTATTAAATAAAATTTAATTGAATTAATAAAATAAGGTATGTGAGGCCAATGTAATAATTGTGAGGAGTGAACTTTTAAATTTGTCATTGTAATTGTGAATCATCATCAATATATAGTGGAACCTCGAGTGACGAGCGGCTCCAGTTACGAGCATTTAGAGTGACGAGCAAGCCACTCGCAGAAAATATGTCTTGACTGACGAGCTTTCGCTCGATTAACGAACGTTCCCGCTGGTTCTCGGACACCTCCGACGATAGTTTTGTTGTTGTTTCACAAGACGAGTTTTACACATGACGAGCTCGGTGCCTGTTACGGCCCTCTCGGGGCGCAACGGGGTTCTTACTCTGATGTTGTTAGAGGAAGTTGTATCCGACCCCAAGCCAGTAGTGGCTTTCAAGGGATGAGATCCGTGACGCAAGTAACTTAAAGGGGAAGGGAAATAAAGTCAAGAACTTAATATAATATATTGACCACCACCAATAAATAATATATAAAAGATTACACGGGGGGAGGGGTATTAACACTGTACACAAACGTCTTCTCCTGAAGACTCTGGAATCAAGCTCTCGGTGCTAAGTCTTCGGTGCTTTCGTGGCCTCACAACGAATCCTCTGAGAAGCTGAGCCTACCCTGGCCACAGGTCAGCCAAAACACAGGTCCACTGGGGGCACCGCCGTGGAGGCCGTCAACCACAAGTCCAGCAGGTCTGCTGGCAGGTTCCGCATCAGCAACGCTGGTCAGGCCACTCCACGGGCGATATTAGGGTAACGCCCTAGACAGGAGCCTCATGTGATACCACAAATCACTCTCCTGTCCTCAATACCCCAGTGGATAATCGTCTCCAGCAGTCAGTCCCGGGTAATCCTTCTACTGCCACTCCACTGGCAGGGTAACACCACAGTGTTCTTCCGGGGAACGACTTCACAGCTGCTGCAGCAAAGCACAAGGTAAGGGGACGGCTGCCTCGGGTAGACTGACTCAACTTCCATCACAGCAGTCCCAGGTCGACTCTGTAAGCAGACACGTCATCAATAACAGGGACACTAAAACACCTCACTTACAGGCTCAGACACAAACACCCGACATATCCACTCCATAGATGGCGCTGTAGTCTGAGCACCACCTCACCAGAGGTCAGGAGCGGCTGTGTTGTGAGCTGCACAGGACTGGAAACTGGCCCTTGTGGCCAGTACACGTCATCCTCACCAGGTGTCGTCGTCCGTTTGGAGGGGGTTTCGGGAGCTGACCCACAGATGGCGCGGTCGTCACTGCTCCGTGCTCGGACGCTGGATCCGGGTTCGTAACAGTGCCAGAACGGATTAAACTCGTTAATCGAGGCGCCACTGTATTAACCCTTAAACTGCGCATGGCGTATACATATCCCCAGAATAACATGTCAAACCGTGTGCATGGCGTATGTATATGATATAGGATGTCGGGCACGATTCAAGTGGCCTTCGACTACATGGGGTTCACATCAGCTTCCTCACGGTTCTTGTAAACAGACACCGTGTTATAAAAAACCAGCGTTGAATGTAATGAAACACCATTACCCGGAGGCTCCCTGGAGCTATCCACACTCATATGCTAATGTCAAATTTTGGCATCAGTCATGTGTATGACGTTCTTTGGGCCTACCGGGGACCACAGCCAGAACCTGGCCCCCTCAGAGAGGCAAGGGGAGCAATGGCCTATAAAAGCTCCCATGTGGTTGGAAGCATTCTGTCTGCCATCGACCGGATCAGGCACCCAGAAAGGTAAGCGTCCAAAAACAAACCCCAATTCTGGTGAAAATATTGCTACCAAAAGTCGAACAAGTGGATAGAACTCCCCAAACAAAAACAAGCAAACTAGTATGATGTCACCCGTTGCCGCTCCGCCACCTGCACAGCTCCCCCCTCTCCAGGAGGGAAAAGGGGGAGCCCCAGACCTACCTTGTCGGTGATCCACTCCCCAGTTCTGAGGCTGGATGTCAAAACACGCGAAAAACTGCCAACCGGAGGGAGGGAGGGATGCCAGGAAGCCTCCGGGTCTCACCCAGAAAATGCTGTTTCATTACATTCAACGCTGGTTTTCTGAGGGGGAGCCCCTACGGCTCCCAGGAGCTAACTACCCACAGAGGAAAAAAAAAAGAGGGACTTACCTGGGAGGCAGTTGCTGCTCACGCCTCAACCCGAAGTTGAGACAACTGGCTGCATCCACCGACCCAAAGCGACACAGGCCCGACTGGGCCCAGGGACATTAACAAGGTAACGAGCAGCCAGGACCCTGTTTGACCACCAAAATCCCCACGCCCAAATGTCAGCCTAGGACATATTGCCAAAGATGGCGGCAAGAGCCGCGAACTTACAAACATCATGGGCACGGGGATAGACTGCAGGCTGGCTAGCCTTAATAACCCTGCGGACAACCTGGGAGACACGCACCCGCGAACAGGGAAGAAGGGAAAACCAGATCAACCCAAAGCGCGTCCATGGACACAGAAACCGTGGTGCGCAAATAACGGCGGAGAGCCGCAACCGGACACAAAACATAATGCACCCCCGGCCTGACCAACCAAGCATCAACAACCCAGGGACCCCTCCTGAAAGCAGAAGTCTCATTCTTCGCCAGAAAAGAAGGAGAACGCTGCAGACGAACAAACCAATTGCCCCGATCGAAAGAATAGAAACCTCTGTACTGGAGGAGAGCATGAAGCTCATCAACCTAACCCCCAGAGGCCAATGCCAACAGAAAAAGAGCCTTGGAGAAACAATCCTAAACCGAAAGGGCCACCACAAACTGAGGAGAGGAAAGATAAGAGAGAACTCTGTCCAATGACCAGGACAGCTCAGGTGGCACATGAGCAGGCCGGAGGTGAAACAACGCCCGAGACAGCTTGTGAAATGACGCTGACGTAACAGGGAGTGTCCAACGTCTTGGCCGACGGCCTGTCTCATTTCGTTCCTCTCTCCAAGGAATGGACGGTCAATGCCGACTCCTTCTGTTGGCGTTGCCAGACGTTCAGATGCCCCCGAGGTGGACCTCTTTGCGTCGGCGTGGTCGCGGCGCTTTCCTTTGTATGTGGCGCCCTTTCCCGACAGTGAGGCGGTAGGGGTCGACACCTTTCGGTAGGACTGGTCGAGGTGGGGGTTCCTGTACCTCTTTGCCCCGTTTCAGCTGTTGCTCCAGGTCCTGACTCACTTGGAGACTTACCAGGGGAGAGTTGTCCTCTTGGCCCCTTGGTGGCTGCCCAGCCGTGATTTCAAGTGCTGCTTGCTCGGTGTCCGAACCCGGAGGTTTTTCCACAGCTCCGCCTCTTCCAGCAGATCGGTTCAGTCTCTCATGTGGCTCGTTCGATTTTCTTCTCGAGTCTTCACGTATGGTATTTTTTACTCAAGTTTATCATCATCTCTATGGTGGTCAGGTGGCTTCCTTATTAGTGTCCCACCTGCGGGCTTCATCTCGACGGCAGTATGTAGTTTCCTGGCGGTCCTTCCAGTTCTTCTTGCGTCTTCGTCGTTGTGCTTCACTTTCTGTTAGGGTGGTGTTGTCCTTTCTCTCTTGGTTGTTCCAGGACCGTTTCCTTATGCCTAACACAGTTGCCTCGTATCGTGCGGCGCTGGCGGAGCCGCTGCAGCTTGCTTTCGGTATTGATATCACATCTGCGCCGTTTTGCAAGCTGTCTTGGGTGTTGTTTCACCTCCAGCCTGCTCATACGCCGCCTGAGCCGTCCTGTTCGTTGAACAGGGTGCTCTCTTTTCTTTCTTCTCCTCATTTTGTTATGGCCCCTTCGGTTCCGGATTGTTTTTCAAAGGTTCTTTTCCTGTTGGCATTGGCCTCTGGGGGTCAGGTTGAGGAGCTTCATGCTCTCCACCGATGCAGAGGTTTCTGCTCTTTCGGTCGTGGTGATCGTTTTGATCATCTGCAGCCTTCTCCTTCTTTTCTGGTGAAGAATGAGACTGCTGCTTTCCAGAGGGGTCCCTGGGTTGTTGATGCTTGGTTGGTTAGGCCGGGGGTGCATCATGTTTTGTGTCCGGTTGCGGCTCTCCGCCATTATTTGCGCGCCACAGCTTCTGTATCCGTGGACGGGCTTTGGGTTGATCCAGTTTCCCTTCTTTCCTGTTCGAGGGTGCGGGTCTCCCAGGTCGTCCGCAGGATGATTAAGGCTAGCCAGCCTGCGGTCTACCCCATGCCAATGAAGTCCGCATGTTCGTGGCTCTTGCCGCCGTCTTTGCCATATGTCCTGGGCTGACATTCAGGTTTGGGGATTTTGGTGGTCAAACAGGGTCCTGGCTGCTCGTTACCTTGTAAACATTCCTAGGCCCAGTCGGGCTTGTGTCGCTTTGGGTCGGCGGATGCAGCCAGTTGTCTCGACTTCGCGTTGAGGAGTGAGCGGCAACCGCCTCCCGGGTAAGTCCCTATTCTCTTCCTCTGTGGGTAGTAAACTCCAGGACGCCGTAGGGGCTCCCCCCAGAAAACCAGCGTTGAATGTAATGAAACGCCATTATCTGGGCGAGTCCTGGAGGCTCCCCGGCATCCCTCCCTCCCTCCCTCCAGTCGGCGGTTTTTCACTTGTTTTGACATCCAGCCTCAGAACTGGGGTGTGGGTCGCCGGCGTGGTGGGTCTGGGGCTACCCCTTTCCTCTCCCGGGGAGGGGGGAGCTGCGCAGACAGCGGCACGATGACGGGTGACATCATACTAGTTTGCTCGTTTTCGTTTGGGGAGTTCTATCCACTCGTTCGGTCTTTGGTTGCAATTTTCACCAGAATAGGGGTTTGTTTTGGGACGCCTACCTCTCTGGGTGCCTAACCTGGTCGATGGCAGACATAGAATGCTTCCAATCACATGGGGGGCTTCTATAGGCCATTGCTCCCCTTGCCTCTCTAGAGGGGGCTAGGTTCTGGCTCGTGGTCCTCGGTAGGCCCACAAGAACTCCATACACATGACTGATGCCAAAGTCTGACATTAGCATATCAACCTAGTAAGCTCCGGGGAGCCTCCGGGACTCATCCAGAAAATGGCATTTCATTACATTCAACACTGGGTTTTTTTATTTTTATTTTTATTGCGCACAGCAGTGATGTTGGCTATTTTTAGGCGCACATAACAATGGTTAAAAGTACATTTGGAGGTTGTGAAACCTGCTTAAGGTAATAAAATGAGGCATTAAATACACAAAGAAAAAGTAAATGAGAAAGTGAATGTACTGAACTTTAAAATGTTTTACTTTTTATTGCATACATGGAACCATTTACTGCTCCAAAGTTTATCTAAACAAATTAACATTTACGTGAAAGGACTTCCCAAATATAAAAGTTTAATTCCAAATTACAGTACAGGTATAATCTTTCATATTGCCTTTAAAATCTAAAAAAAAAGTCTCACCTTTCATCACCAAAACCAAAGTATTATCCTCTCGTCCAAAGCGACCAAATTTCATGGCAGATATCCTGTCTTCAGTGTGTATAGTATCCACTAAATGCTTATCACGATAAATCATGACACGGTTGTCAGCCATTCCAAGAGCTGTCAGTGTGAGGCCAAGCGTACGGATCTCAAGAGTCTCCACACACGTTATGGCAGCTGGAAGCCTGAGAGACCATAACCGCTTACCCTAGATAATAAATAGTAACATGTAGAGTCCTGTAGAGTAGTTATATATTAAATGAATCAATGAATGTAATGATTGTCTTGTCATTAGATTAATATTATCTGACTATACATGATAATAACTTTCACATTAAACATACATTACAGTACAACCTCGATTCAACGTACCCCGATTCAACGAATCTCCGGCTAGTTCGCACACTTTTCACGCCGAATTTACTCACCTGGTTCGACGAACAATGGTTCGCCGAAGCGAGGGATGTTCGGATTTGCTTACGATGTCCAGACAAGAGTTCACAGACTGGTGGAAAACTTTCCCATTCTATCACAGATTACAATTAATAATTCTCTCATATGACAAGTTGGATCACACAAGTAGATCACACAAGTGGACCACACAAGTGGACCACACATGTGGACCACAAGTGGTCCACAAGCTTACGATTTTGGGACAGAGTTCACAGAGTGGTGGAAAACTTTCTCATTCTATCACAGATTACAATTAATAATTCCTTCATAAGAAGTTGGATCACACAAGTGAACCATATGAACCAAACACCAGCCAAAATGGTCCACAAAAACACCAGCCAGTGATCCACACAAGTGAACAACTGAGTTTCCATGATTTTCGTTCACTGATTTGGGGCACACGTATCTTTGTACATTAATTTAACCCTCAAACCGCTAGGGGCCCAAATGGAATTCACACCCACAGGCGCAACAAAATAAAAATTCCAAAAAATTCTTTCGTCTTATAGAGGTGTTCATTTTTGTTCCCTGATCACGGAAAAAAAAAAAATCGTAGGAGGCATATTTTAGCCGCAATAGGGTAGGGAAGTGTGGCAAAAAAGGGGCGTTGGCAGAGCCTTCGCTAGACGAGGTCTACTCCGCCCGAGCTGTCAGACGGCAGTTGCCACAAATATATTATTACCTAATTATTTCAATGTCTCTGATTGATTTTTTCTTAGTTTTTGCAGTAATATTATTCCATACAGTGAATTGTGGTATATTTATATAATAAAATGTGTGAACCATCGCTGTACTCAAAATTATGGTGTGCATATTAGTGATTCAATGTATTATGTTCATAAAACAATAAACAAATAGTTTTGCTGTTGTTACACTATATACACAGGTTATATATAAGTATCTGCATGTTTTGTTCACTATAACGAACTACTAAGTTGGTCTTGTGAGTCAAAAAGCAAGGAGGAGTGACCGCCAAACACTAGCGAGTCACTCACTGCCACTCCCTCCCTCAACATCACCTCACTCACCCTCATTCTCCTCCCACAATACTGTTTTTGCATTTATTCACTATACACAGACGTTATATATACGTATTTACATGTTTTGTTCACCATAACTGTACATCTAAGCTTGTACGGTGAGTAAAGGCACAAAGACGTAGCTACTCACACAGTCAGCTGATCAGCGGCCGCCCTCAAGGCCAGACGCACTAATATTTCTCCTCCAACAATATTCTTTGTGATGTTATTACGCTATATACACACATTATATATAAGTATCTACCTGTTTTATTCACCATACCTGTACAAATAAGCTGGTATGGTGCCCAAAGACCACAGTGGCCATCAGTAAACAACATGCCAAGTCGTGCGACGCTCCTCCCTCACCAAAATGGCAGCTCCCAACCTACTCCTCTCGCTGTTATCTCACACTATACACACATTATATATAAGTATCTACATTTGTGTTCACCATAGCGAACCACTAAGCTGGTATGGTGAGTGCAGTCAATAAATGGTGGCCACACACAGTCAGAAGACGACACCACAACCCTCCCTCCACAGCCTTACTCCTCCCTCCATGGAGCACAGCGCTAAATATCATCACAATCCTGCTATTATCAGAATCCTAGTCAGTTTTATCACAGTCAGAGGGCTTCAGTAATACTATCACTGCTAAATAATAGCAGTATCATATATATTATGGCATTAGTAGGCGATGCTGTGGTCACAAGCTGAACAGCGGTGCTGTGAGCTCATGCTGCGTGCGCCAGCCTTGGTGGCTTGCGAATACTGATGCTCTAATACCCAAGAATGTTAGCCTGGATTTTTTTTCTAGGTGGCATCTGGCAACTATCGGTCGTGGCTGTACTATAGCTGCCCCTATCCCAGGCGAGGCATTTAAATTATAGCGCTAGACACGAAATCATATATAAATGATGTGCGTGGTTTCGGTTTTGTCACTGATATCATTTATATATGATATGCGCGGTTTGAGGGTTAAAGGATGAAGCGTGATTACCTAGCTACATGTGGTAAAATCTCCTTATAGACATTTTCTGTGATGAAACAAGATGAGTGAGGGTGGACAGATAAGAGAACACTGTACTGTAAACCTCACTTTACAGTGAGGTTTCACTCACTTTCGTCTGTGAAAGTGAAAGAAGTGAGAGTGAAAGAAAGTAATAGTTCAGTGACCCATGACTTTTGAAAGTTTTATATTAATAAATAATTTCTAAAACCACTGTTTTAATAGCTTTTTATTATCCTAATTAAACTGAACTAAATAAAACCGAAAATATACTGTAATATGATAGACATCTGCTCTTTGAGAAATTACTGTATGTTATTGGTACAACTCTACCGTGAGTGGACGGGTCTAATCCCTGTACACACAGCACCATGCGTGTTTCATCCCTCCCTCCCTCCCTCCCTCCCTCCCTCCCTCTCTCTCTCCCTCCCTCCATACCTCCCTCCCTCTCTTCATCCATCCCTCCCTCTCTCTCTCCATCTATCCCTCCCTCCCTCTCTCCATCCCTCCCTCCCACTCTCCATCCCTCCCTCCTTCCCTCCCTTCCTCCCTCTCTCCAGCCCTCCCTCGCTCTCTCCATCCCTCCCTCCCTCTCTCCATCCCTCCCTCCCTCTCTCCAGCCCTCCCTCCCTCTCTCCATCCCTCGCTCTCTCCATCCCTCCCTCTCCATCCCCCCACCCTCCCTCTCTCCATCCTTCCCTCCCTCTTTCCAGCCCTCCCTCCCTCCCTCCCTCCCTCCCTCCCTCCCTCCCTCTCTCCAGCCCTCCCTCCCTCCCTCCCTCCCTCTCTCCATCCCTCCCTCCCTCTCTCTCAATCCCTCCCTTGAGACTTTAAGATGGACTTACCTCCAACAATAAGGTAAATAACAAATGTAACACAGTATTTGTTAGTAGAGTAATAACATATCGGTACATGTCACGTGGGTGCCACTGATTCACCCTGGAAGCCCTTCAGTCAAACACGGGGAAACTGCTGTTAACAGTTCCGGCCTAGACCCGTGGAGGAGTGAAGGAAGACTCAGGCTTACCTTATAACCATAACCTCCCTGAGTCTTGCCTGCCAGACAAAAAGATTGCAGGAACTCCTTTCCCGCCTGTCTTCTCTATCTTCTTCTTAACAAGGTTGCCAGCTGGGTTATTATATCTGCACCCCAGCAATGCAGTTCAGTGGGTGTATTATATATTGTTTGTAGCCAGAAGGTTGCTACTCCCATAGATCTGCTACTAGACTGTCGGCCCAGGGTACTCTCCCAGGAAGGCCTATGTGGCTTTACCTCTCTCTAGCCACTACGTTACTAGTTGCCACAATTCAGGCACTGATACTGATCGGATGGCTAAGGGTACACTTTTATATAAGTCCGTGCTGTCTTTACCACTCTCCAGGCAATAAGAACTTCTATAGAGAACGTAGTGTTCCCTAGGTGGTACTATGATAACCTTCGTGTATGCTCATAGAGAAATATTGTAATGGAAGCACACTTAAACACAGTGATAAAATGTGTGAATTTACTGACGCAAATTACATGAACACACATACAATCACAAGTAATACATGAACATGAAACTAAGGATAATAAGTCTGGAGATCGTCAGCCTCTTCTTCCACGACCTCCAACACTCCTTCAACTGGGCAGACAGACAGGAGTCCCACACTCTCTCACAGGAGGGCCTCTTCACCACGTCGGCGCCTCTTCTTCACTGTCCTGCCATCCATACACACTGTCCCCTCTGACAGTCCTGGACACAAGCTGCCTTGCAGCCTATTCTACTACTAAAGTATTAATGTCCTATTGCCACATACATAAGTAAATATTGTGGCCTAACTAGCCTACTCACACAAGGGGTAATGGAAGGGAAAATGATCTACCTTACATTCCTGGCTCACGACGCCTGTCCCTCGATGGTGTGAGGTTTCCACGCTTCCTGAGTCGATCCTTGACGATCCAGGAACGTTCCACAGGTCCTCAGGTGTCGTGGAGCCTTCACGTCGTCGCCGTTCCAATCCCTGAGATTCAGCTACCCCAATCCTGGTTCATCGATAGGCGCTGAGCTAATCACTATTTTCCCACACTCGCCCCTTCCACAAGGCGTTGCTCCTTGTCCTAGGCACGGTGTCGTCCTTCCAAAACCCTCAGTGGATGTGACCCGGTCACAGCTAGGATTGCCCGCCACACCTTTTCAGGCCCTCAACGTCCAGCGTCGTCGCCGAATATTTTCCAAGTTTGGCACTCTTTTGCTCAATAAACTTGGTTCCTTTTTGCTTCCCAGAAGCGCGGGGTCTCCAATACATCTGATGGGCTGCGATAGCCAGCACTAATCCACTAAGAAAGGCTTGTAGAGACTCTAATCCTTGAGAGCAGACCGAGGCGCGTCCTCTCGCTTCCGAAGGTCAGGTCAACTCTGACGTTGGCGCCGCCCGGGGCACTCGGTGACGTCACGGCGGGCCCTGATTGGTCGCCCGCGACCTAAGTCGGCCAATCCGCGATCGGCTAGCATCCCTTCCAAAACGTCATATCTGCAGTAGGGGATACTCTTTCATTTTATATTAGGGCGCCAATTTCTCCTTACTTACAACTTATAATGTAACTTTCTCCCTTAACTGGCAGCCAGTCTGGGCACCAATTTCTCCTTACTTACAACTTATAATGTAACTTTCTCCCTTAACTGGCAGCCAGTCTGGTCGCCACATATATCAATAGACTCCCTGGACCTCAGAGAATCAGTA